ACCATATGATATCGCCCAATATCATATGGTATGATAGCGGCTAGCTATCATACCATAGCTGGTATATATATAGCCGCGGCTAGCCGCTAACTGCCGCGGCCGCCTCGTTATTCGTTAATATCAAATCCATCATAACAATCCAGAACGCACGGTGCTGTTACGTGTACGTAAATTGACGTGCTTGATGTGAACGAGCCTTTTGGGGGGCGTGGTTAAAGTTGTGCATGCTCTATGAGCGCACATACGGATACTTCTCAGGCATGCTGGGTAATCTGTGACATTTCACTCTCTCAAAAGTTGGGCCTTTTTGTCATCATGCGCCAATGAGCCGCTCTCATAGGAATGAATGAGGCCCCGCCTCTCACGCTGTATCCAGTTCTTATTAGGCTTGTTTGAGACAAGCGAGACCTGCACAGATCTGCGCAGTTGCGATCAACGTCTTGCTAGTGCGTTGCATGATGGTTAGTCATTTTGTCTGACTTGAGACGTTGAAATCTCGCGGGACAAAGACACCCGCAGCCTTGAGAGCGAGGCGCGGTGAGGCGACGCAGTTCCTCTCCACGGGCTGCGGAAGCGAAATGCTTGATGGGAAACGACTCGCTGGTATCTCGAGCTGAGTGCCCATTGGTGGCTTTTACCCCGTGCTGCTGATGAAACTCTCCAATTGGCTCGGCAAAAGTTTGTTGTTGTTTTGTGTCAGTTTTACGTCGCCACTTCCATTCACATTTTTCATCATTGTTCCACAATGTTTATCATCATGAAATTAATATCTATATATTTTATACTATACTTGCACTGCTTACCGTTTTCATACTTTATATCCATCCATCCATCTTCTCCCGCTTATCCGTGGTCGGGTCGCGGGGGTAGCAGTTCCAGCAGAGAGCCCCAAACTTTCTTTTCCCTGGCGACATCAACCAGCTCTGACTGGGGGATCCCAAGGCGCTCCCAGGCCAGCGAAGAGATATAATCCCTCCACCTGGTCCTAGGTCTACCCCTTGGTCTCTTCCCAGCTGGACGTGCCTGGAACACCTCCCTAGGGAGGCGCCCAGGTGGCATCCTAACTAGGTGCCCGAACCACCTCAACTGGCTCCTTTCGACGCGAAGGAGGAGCGCTCAACTCCGAGTCCCTCCCGGTAATTTCGAGGCTGCACATGGGTAGACTTCGGCCGTTTCTCAATCTGGATGGATGCTGGCTTGGTAGTCACATTTTTCGTGATAACAAACAAATGTAACAAAGTAACACATTTACCAACACATGTTCTACGCCACTACATACTTACATTTAAATGTGTGCTGCGTCGGTTCAGCCATTCTCCGCAAGGGTTTTTGAAATTGGTCCGTGCGCAAAGTATTGTGGGGATTTTAGGGACGCGAAGTCTACCCATGTGCGGCCTCGAAATTTCCCCCAAACCAAGGACGCGGCCTTGGTGTAATTCCAAGTATGCTGGAGATTGGAACAGTCCTTCGGTGGCACTCGATGACGTAGCATCCTTGAAATATTAGCTTGGAGCCAAAATCCTCACGATTGAGAAAAGTCCTTAAAATCCCCACAATGCTTTGCGCACGGACCAATTTCAAAAACCCTTGCGGAGAATGGCTGAACCGACGCAGCACACATTTAAATGTAAGTATGTAGTGGCGTATAACATGTGTTGGTAAATATGTTACTTTGTTACATTTGTTTGTTATCACCAAAAATGTGTTCCGTGAATGTAAAGCAAGTTCATAATTAGATAGACATCGTGAGGTATTTATTTTCGGTACAGTTTATGTTGAAACCGTTAGAGAGAGTGGCACACTTGTTAGTCTGTTACATTCTTCTTCGTTTCCGAAGCCGTAGCTTGGAAGTATACTGGCTTCGTTTCTGAAGGAAGTGACTACCAAGCCAGCATCCTCGCGATTGAGAAACGGCGCTAGTCTCTTCTTCACTCTCCGCTGTCCCAACGCGAACCGGACCAACAGCTGTGAGGGGGGGAGCCACCAACTCGCAAATTTCATTGTATATCATGGCATTATTTGTTTAATTAAATGCTGTTAACTTTTATAAGCTTCATTGTACTCTTTTCAGTTTATCCTAGTCTCGAGGCTTAAGAAATCCTAACACCTGACAGGCTGGAGTTTGTGCAACCTGCACAAACTCAAACCCAGGGTCGGCCCTTGGCATTGGCAGTATAGGCGAATGCTAAGGGTGCATCAACCCATCGGGGGCGCCAAAAATTGGGGGGGGAAAAAAAAGTTAGAAATTAAAATACATTTTTTTTTTAAATGTCATAAGAGCACAATTTCCCGATTTTGGATCAACAAAGTACATCTTATTATCTTATACTAACATAACATACGCCTATATTGCGTACATCGCCCATAAACTATGGCCCCCAGTAAAAACCAGAGGTTTATGTGAAATAGTTATTTTTTGGAAATAATGGTTTTAGTGTGCAATTATAGGTTTTAATTTTGTATTAGTGTTAATTTAAAGAGGACCTATCATGCAAAATGCACTTTTGTACGTCTTTTATAATATGTGTCCCCGGTGTTCCAGGGAACTCACCAAGTGTACGAAAACACAACCCTCTCTATTTTCCTTCATACCAAAATCTCAAAAAAAGGGGCTGCAACGGATCTGATACAAACTGATCCAGATTTGAACACTTTACTGACGTCAGTAAAGTGGCGCTACGGCTATTGGTCAATTCTCCACCTATCAGGGGAATGAGAAGTTGGGCCACGGCCGGCCATTGCTGCTAGAAAGCGCTGCAGACGCTGTAGTACATATGCCAGGCCTGTAAGTGGCGCTGTAGTCTGCCACAAAAACAGCAAAGAAGACTTCCCTTGCATGGTTGCCCTTCTGTTTATTCTCTGCTGTGGCTCTTTTTCTCCCTCCACACGGCAAGCTTTTGCGCCTCCTGCTTTAAAACAAATGAATAATGACTATATATAATCATATGTAAGGGATAATGTGCAGCGACGCGTCATTATGGGGAAAAGAACACCGACAGGCTGATCAGGAGCCTGATGCGAAGCAGAGGGATCTAGATCGGCATGAAGGCACATTATGCAATGTGCACATTATCCCGCACATTATCCCGCTTATTACATGGCCATTCTCAACAAAGTAACGACATGACTCCCAATATTAATTGAAATGCTTTTATGGATTTAGAAAATTATTTTATTGATTTAAAAAATAGTTGTATGTATTGATTTAAATTGACATGCATCCGCTAAGAAAAATAATCCGTTGTTACTGTTTGAACAAACGTAGCAATGGCAGGAACTGCTTCAATAGTGTTTTTGAGGAGCTTTTTGATTACAGATTTGAAAACATCGTTGCTTGCTTTAAAAGTAGCACAATTCATTATGTCAAACCTTGGAAAGTATCTAGATATCCCTGCCCTAATGCATTTCGAGGCTGCACATGTGTAGACTCCGCGGTCTTAAAATCCCCACAATGCTTTGCGCACGGACCAATTTCCCCAAATCTGTGAGGGAAAATGTAAGGCGGGGCCTCTCATATGACACACACCTGCACACTTGCTAGCCTGTTCCACTCTTTGTTTTCCCAATGCCAGGAAGTATTCTTGCCTTGCTTCTGAAGCAAGACACTCGGAAGACATGTGCTACCAAGCAAGCGTACTCGAGATTGAGAAACACCCAAGGAGTCCGAGAAAGTTGCTCCCCCATGTGACGTAATATGACGCGTTTCACGTATGACGTTTAAAAAAAGCAGTTTTTAGTAGCAGAGCTCAAAACGGCTCCTTTCCCCTCTGAATTCCTGCCCTTATGTCTCGTAAAACATATCAAATCCTGCATTAACTTTTTTAATTGTAATTTTCAGGCAAGGTTAAGCATAAATCTAGTAAAAAAAAAAAAACCTGCAAGTTGCTCTTTACAATAAGTATATATTTAACTGGGGCCATGAACACAAATACAATATTTTAAAGTAAGATGTTTCATGACAGATTTAACTAATTTCTACCTATACTGTAGTTGCTGTGTAGGTAATGACATGCATCACCCTTAGTCTCTATGACACAGACAAATCTGCATACATCAACATAAATGCCAGTACAATCAATACAAATTGCAACCCTTAAATTACAATGTATTACATTTGAAGACCTGAACTTATGCCCGGTCAAATAATGTCGACATGAATGCTTGCTTAAAATCGGTTTTTTGCAACATGGGAAAAAAATGAATGTCTGTAAAAGTTTTAGGATAACAGTCCAATGGCTATAAATCAAAAAGCAGATTTAAATACATATAGAGATGGAGATGTGAGCAGGGGATAACTGGAGCTAAAAATACTGCAGTAGGCCTAAGCCAGAAATAAAAAGCAAGTACACACACAGCTAACAATGTAATCTATGTGAGGATAGAAGGTGTACAGTGTCATGGTTAACACACCTATGTTTCAAATTGTGTTTGTTGTTTTTGTTTTAAACATGTATTGCCGTAGTACACACTCTGGTCCAGTAGCTGACACATCCAACATTGGTTTGTGAGCTCCAGTTAACACGAAGAAGAAGAGCTAGCCTCTAGCAGTCCACCTACCTGCTGCAACAAGCCCCGTCTCCACCCCCCTACACGGCTGCACTACTTCACTCCGCTGGAGCCGCAGTTAAATGGAGCCTCATGAAGTCAGCATACTGTCCGCGAAGTTAAAAGAAACTTAGACAAACCCGAAGTAGAACATGGGCAGAAACTACCGTGTTGTTTTTTAAACCACACGTTAGCATGTTGTTTACGTGGCTTTATATTGAGAGTTAACGTTAGCGGGGAAGCTAGCTAATGTTAGTTAGTTTGTTTGGCTAATTATTCCCGTGGGACGGCTGTCGAGTATCAATTTATCGAGATAACAGCTAAATTCATTAGCTTGGATTAGGCACGTTGCTTTGTAGCATAATAAAGTAACTACTGGGCTTTATTGGCCGTTAGCAGTGGATCTGAGACTCATTGTTTACTCGTTTCCGCGGTATGGTTCTTCTGGTGGTTTGATGGGGTTTTCAAAGACCATGATGCCGTCTAAGCTCCAGCTGCTGGCTGTGTTGGCATTTGCGGTAGCGATGCTGCTCATCGAGAACCAGATCCAGAAACTGGAGGAGTCCAGAGCCAGACTCGGTAAGTCCAAACAAAGACTTAGTTCACTTTGTTACCGTATTATTGTGCTATGTTCTCCATCCATCTGTATAGTGTCTTCACAAAATTATGTAAATAATATCATACTTTTACATCTTGTTTGCTGTAATTGGCCCTTCGTCGTGATTACTTGATAGATCGTCTTCATATATATATCTCAATCAAAACATTGCAAACTTTAATAAATAATTTTAACAATATATTGTTGTCAGAGTTTCAGTTGTACATCGTTCTTAATGTGATGTATAGCAGCAGGGTTGCCAACTTTGGGTACCTGGCTGGAGTGACAATTACACATATGCGCACGAAATGACCGCTATCGTGTCAGCAGCGGGATATACAATATACAATATATACAAATACACAATATTGGACACAGACTATAAAGGGCACAAAGTTTCATTCAGTAATGAAAGTCAAACACATGTTTGTTTATCGCAATCATTTCCGGGAAAATGTATCTAACAAAATTAATTATCGTGAGAGGTATCTCACACACACACAAATAAATCTACAGACTTACTCCAAACTGCCAAATATATTAATTAACACACTCACTCTCATATACTCTTTGACTCTATTTTGGCCTAGTAGAACAATAAGCAGCAGACTTTTACTTTTTTTTATCATTTCTACTGGATCTGCGCATGCACAATACGGGTCGGCAGTTGCGGCTCCAGAGTATTTCTGTTGGGTAATCTATGGTAGGGCTAACCCATACAGTGGTGTTGCTCAAGTCAGTATTTGCATTGTAATTACATATACGCTCCCCTTGACAGTGAAACGCCACGCGAGAGGTTTAGATTATTTCCCTGTCTCAATCCAAATTGAACTGTATGAAATAAAAAGGCACATTTGTCTTGTAGTAAATAAAAAGGGCGACCTGGAGATTTTTTGAAATACTAACATAAAATACACATTCTGGTAGTCTCTTGAGAAGAAAAATAAATAAATCTATTACTACACGACATATTGAAAAAAATGAATGCCATTTTAGTTTTTGGCCGAGGCTATATACAGGACGGTCCTGTACACAACGCCAAATGGCTATATACAGGACTGTCCTGTACACAGCTCTCTGAAATGGCTATATACAGGATGGTCCTGCACAGAAGCCCTGAAATGGCTATATACAGGACGGTCCTGTATATAAGGTCTCTGAAATGGCTATATACAGGACCGTCCTGTATATAGCCATTTCAGAGAGCTGTTTACAGGACGGTCCTGTATATAGCCATTTCGGAGCTTGTATACAGGACGGTCCTGTATATAGCCATTTCAGAGACCTTATATACAGGACCGTCCTGTATATAGCCATTTCAGAGACCTTATATACAGGACCGTCCTGTATATAGCCATTTCAGAGGGTTGTGTACAGGACGGTCCTGTATATAGTCATTTGGCGTTGTGTACAGGACGGTCCTGTATATAGTCATTTGGCGTTGTGTACAGGACGGTCCTGTATATAGTCATTTGGCGTTGTGTACAGGACGGTCCTGTATATAGCCACTCCCTTAGTTTTTTGTTACTTTGTTCTGAAAGCTGAACCTGCTGCTCCTCACTGAAGAGGGAAGAGGCTGTGAATGACTTTACATGGTGGATAAGGGTGGATAGCCCCCATTGTTCTGTGTGTCAAAATGAAAGACAGCCCACACACCTATCAATCATCAAACCGTGGGGTCTTATTTCGTTACGTGTTGATTTCTATCAACACGTAATGTTGTATCGATGTATATAGAGATGTACTACAGCAAAAGTATTCTCCGTCGGGACTTCCTGCAACAACACCACGCCGTTATCTTGATTCTGATTGGCCAGAAGACATTATCAAAGATGTTCTATTGAGAAGACGATCACTACGTGACAAAAGTTTTCAAAACCGTTTCTAGTCTTCGGTATTCTTGTTTTTGGCGTGAGAATAGTTTGGGCAGCGTGAGATTGAGAGTGAAAGCGTGTGTCACACGCCAGATGCGTGAGAGTTGGCAACCCTGTGTATAGTAGCTTTGATAGCTGTCCATACCTTCAGACCGCCTCTATGTGAAACACAAGTTGTTTACTCACAGCCTGGAGATGACTGTCATCTGTGGCAAGCTGTGATCCGCTCCGTATAAATGGTGATACAACTTCTCCAGCCATTCTCAAGCGATCAATGTTTTTATTAAATACCTGTATCCTTCTCATCACAACACAACTCTACACTGTGCATCAGAGATGTGTCTTTATTACAATTGAATGTAAATTGTCAATTTGAAAATATAGCAACATAAAACGAACAACTATGCACTGGGTTGTTTGTGAAACAGTAGGACCTCTGGAATTGTATTATCACTGGCCCCACCATTGTAACCACTGGCCCGGAGCATTCGTCCAAAACATCGACTAATAATGAGGAAAATGAACACATTTGTCGCAATAGTAATTTATGCACTAACTACATTACTACTATTACTACAACATTTGAATCATCAGTTCTTCCTCATTTCCCTCAATTGTTCATATTTGGTGTATTAAAATAATGATATTGTGGTCATTGTTAAAAAATGTCTGCTATTATTATTTGTATAATGCACTTTCTGCCTTCCTGTCATTAGGAGTTAGACATGTAATGGCTATGTAATTGATTTGATTAGAACCTTCATTATCCTAAACTGCTGGGACATTTCCCTATAGCCAATACCTTTTATATTTTTCTACTCTTCACTTACTTGTCAGCATAGGTCGGCATTGATGTACAGAGCAGACAGAAGACCTTGTTTATATTGGCATCATATTGAGAGGTGCAGCCAGTGACGCATCCTAAAACCAGGAAGTAAGCTGCTGGTTCCCTCGACAAAAAGCAATAGGATTTCTCCACAGGGTTTTGGAAAATAGCTGGAAATAAGGTCTGTGGAAAACAAACCTGTTTGATAAATGCACGTTTTGTTCAGCCGGATAATATCCACATGTCTACCCTACGTTTATTATTTTCGAATCATAAATCTAATCGATAGATTATAAAAGGGTTTTAGGATGCGTCACTGCACCACTAGAAGCCAACTCCATCGATCAAGCTGGCTGAAACTTTCTCTCCCTCTTCTTCTCATGCTCCCTGTCACTCTCCTTTCTCCGGTGACTTTCTTTTATTTGAAGATTGTTTTTTGCACGGCGCTTGGCCGGTTACCGCTGGTATTAAAAACATGTTGGCGAATGGTTAGGTGGCGCGATAGTCTGTAGTGAAGGAGCGCGCTCCCCTCACGGGAGCCTGCTCGCGCTGAGCACCGCAGCAAACAGCCATTTGCTTTTCACCCAACAATGACAATCGACTCACGCAACGCTATGTTGTAGCGTTAACAAACGAAACAATTTAACAAAATTGCTTATCAAAATACCAATACCACAGGACAATATTTTTTTTTTAAGCAATATTTTTAGTGGCCTGAGCGGGCAAGTGGAAAGTACGTTATGCTGGCCCGGGGTGTCTAAATAGTGCTTCCGGGCCAGCGGGCCATTTATAATGTCGAGCCCTGGAATACAGTTGTTCCATCATGACTTCTAGCCTATACATGTAAGCAATTATGTCTACCTTCCCACTCTTGCATTATTAACACCCAATGATATCAAATGCTTAACTGCCTAGGTTGCAACATTCACTTTTTGTTTCCCAAATGTCAGTTTAGTTTACATAATGCACTTTTTGTTTTAACCTACATTACTGTTAAAGAAGGAAAAACAACAGTGAAAGTTATATTTCAGAAACAACTTTATTGGAAACGTTTTTTCAACATTCAAACATTTATTGTCATTACATGACATTTCCTTTAGCTGACGCTTTTATCCAAAGCGACTTACAATAAGTGCATTCGACCAAGAAGATACAAACTTGAAGAACACAGAATCATATCAGTACATCAGGTTTCATAGAGCTAAAACATTTCAAGTGCTACTCAACTGGCTTTAGATAAGCCAGTCCTTTGTTAGTATACAAGTGCTTTGTTAGTAATTCTATCGCTCGAAGTGGAGTCGAAAGAGTTTTCAGCTGTCCTGATTTCAATGGGGAGCACATTCCACCATTTGTCATGTCAGTATGTTAAATTCCATTCCAAATGATATAACAGTGGGTGTACAGGTGTGTATGTATGACACACAAATATATGTACATTTCTTTAAATATATAAAAGTTGCCTTTGAAAACGTAATACTTTAGCTTTAAAGAGCCTGTGACAGCCTCCCAACAACTGTTGTGCAGTGAAATATTGGGCTACTAGTAATCTCGAACCGTCAGCTTAAAAAAGAAGGTGCGATACCGTTCTGATAAATATCAATAATTTCGAACATCGCGGGGAAATTCCTTCGACTCATTTTGGGGGAAGCCGGAAGTGACGTCAATGCGGGAATGCTTCACTGTGCAGCGAGAGAGCCAAACACGGACAAAGTGTGTTGTCATGCGTAGAAATGGTGAATTACTGAGTTTAGGCACGTTAATAACGTTTTAATGAAGTTGACTACAGTATATTCATATTTGTCAGTGCTTTCATGTCAATTAGGCGAACATAAACATAAATTATCGTGGAGCTGCTGAATTTCCTGCCGTCGGATGTGATATAAAAACAAATCGATTATTTTTGTAGTTGTAAACTCAAGTGGATTAAACTACATTTATTAGTGCTTTCATGTCAATTTGGCGAACATATGATACATTAAATGATCGTGAGGATGATGATTTAAAAATCGTTTGTTTGAGCCGGTCTGCATTTCCTGTTAGGGTTAGGCATGTGTTGGTTATGGTTAAGGTTAGGATTAGGGATGGGTATCGTTTGAAATTTATCGATTCCGATTTCAATTCCGGTTCTGCTTATCCATTCCGGTTCTTATCGATTCCCCGTTTCGATTCCAAAATTGTAAAATAAAGAGGTCAAACGTTTAGATAACAAAAATATATTTATTCTTAAAAGCTTTAACTGAAATTGTTACTAAAAAATATACATGCAATACAAATGTATTGCACAATAGCTGTGCTTTATTTTAACTGAGCTATGCCTGTGGCAAGCTATTAACAGGCATTACACTTTGCCTTTTCTTTTTCTTTTTTAGTGTAGTGGAGCCTCACTTCAGAGTGTTTACCGCGACCTATCTTTGGTGTTATGAAGTGACTGAGCTCGTGAAATGTCTACGGGAGGGCGGGGGGGCATCGCTGCGGGGCAACTGTGGACCTCTGTCGCCTGTCAGCGCAATTTATATGATGCCGTTTAAAAAAATGAAGGGCGGTGCCGGCCGTCAGCGTACCGAGCCGGCCGTCAACGGCCCGCTGACGACCGGCCGTTCTGTGATTCTCCAGGTCCGCCCTGTATTCCACCGGGTCACCGCAGCACCGCGGTGCAGACGGACCCGCTGGAATACAGGGTCTACCGCGTTTAGGAACCGTTAAGCAGAACCGAAATTGTGTATTTTGTATGGGTACCCGGTACCCGGCATTTTCTTATCGGTTCTCATCTGGAACCGAGTTTCGGTTCCCAACCCTAGTTAGGATAAGTCTCCAGGAAATGTGTGTGTGTGTGTGTGTGTGTGTGTGTGTGTGTCAGAGATGTTCACAAGTCTTTTTTTGCAAGTCCAAGTCAAGTCTCAAGTCTTTGGTCACGAGTCCAAGTCAAGTCTCAAGTCTTTGTGGGGTGAGACTTGATCAAGTCTCAAGTCTTTGGTCACGAGTCCAAGTCAAGTCTCAAGTCTCTAAAAAATAAAAGTCTCATGTCTCTTCTGTTTGTAATAAGCCTTCTATTGTCTGCTGCTATCCAGTCTGTTAAGAATACTGCACAGCTATATCTAAGAAATTCAAAGCATTTACTGTATTATTATCACTCCTATATCTATTAGCATACAGTATCAGTACTGATTAGTTGTTTGTTATATGATCACTTTAAACAGGCTATTGCAATGCAATATGAGGAAAAACATCACACTTTAGCTAAATGCAAACAACTTATAAGCAAAACACTTCAGAATCAGAAATCAGTATCACAAATACTTTATTAATCCCCCACAGGGAAACTGTGTTAAAAGTACTTCAAAGTAAACATTTGTTCTGTGCCATTTGCAACTAAAAAACTATTGCTGCAATATTATCTGAAATATACTGAACTGGTGATATTAAAACATGACCTGTTCCAAAAGAGATATCTACCATTAACACAATTTACCAGCCAAATGCTGGTAAATCATGCAAATGGCTGGTACTGTATGTTGCACGCACCAGCCAAAAATAACAATGGCAATCTATTGAGTGGCTGGTAAAATTTCAACATTCACTAGGCTAGCCATTTGGCCAGTGGACAAAAATGTTAAAATTTGACCTCTGCAACCGTATTGTTTAATTACACTGGGTCTCTAATTACATCTTTTAAGTCTACTATAAATAAACATATTCCTCTATCCTCTCACTCAAACCCAGTGATAAACCTGTAACATTAACGTTACGTGGTCAACAATAAACCTGTAACCTGCCTATAAACCGACAGATGTATTTATGTATGTAACTATGTATTTTTCTACGTTTAACGTTAGCCAGTAGATGGTGGCAGCGGAACGTAATGATTAACGTTACCGACCTTTTTTATGTCATGTCAAGAGTTGGATGTCAACGCCACTCAACGCAAACAAGTGTGACAAGCAAACATTCACTCATCTTTTCAAATATTCAGTTACAAAGCTAGTAGCAAGCTAAGTTAACATTACATAGCTGATGCTGAGCTAAACATGTTTGCTAACCGTCCATATGCGTTAATGTGACTGACCTCTCCGGGTGAGTTTTCAAGTGCCTGATGAAATTTGACGTTGTTGCACCAGCATCCTTGATTTTAATATTGCAGACTTTGCAGTGTGCGCTCCTTTTGTTGGTGCCGCCGGCGTTTTGTTCGAAGTTGTTATAGTTGAACCTAATTACAAGCGGTACAGCTGCAGGTGTGCCGCCGGTCGCCATGGTGTTACAGTTACCATGATGTTAATGTTAATGTTAAAGGTGGGGTAGGTAAGTTTGAGAAACCGGCTCGAGATACACTTTTTGTTATATTCCATGGAATGCTCTTAACATCCCGATAGCCGGCCCGGCTAAAGTAACTGGATGGCCTACCTGCCTGTCAGCCTCCCATCGGGGCACAAACTTATCTCGTGCCCTCATTGGTCATGTGCGCGTTCGTGTGTGTTGGAGGAGGGGCTTGGTGAGGAAGTGGCCGATTTTCTCCGGTTGTGTATTTTCAAATTCTAGCGATCTCGAGCCGGTTTCTCAAACTTACCTACCCCACCTTTAATACGCCAAAAAATAGAAAACACAATGATTGTTCACGAGTCCCAAAACACGAGTCCAAGTCGAGTCCGAAGTCTTTTGAGCAGGAGTCCAAGTCAAGTCTGAAGTCTCTGTGTTTACATTACATTACATTGCATTTAGCTGACGCTTTTATCCAAAGCGACTTACAATAAGTACATTCGACCAGGAAGACACAACCTTGAAGAAAACAGAATCATATAAGTACATCAGGTTTCATAGAGCTAAACATTTCAAGTGCTACTCAACTGGCTTTAGGTAAGCCAGTCCTTTATTAGTATAAAAGTGCTTCGTTAATAGTTCTAACGCTCGAAGTGGAGTCGAAAGAGATGAGTTTTCAGTTTGCGCCGAAAGATGTGCAAGCTATCTGCCGTCCTGATGTCAATGGGGAGCTCATTCCACCATCTTGGAGCCAGGACAGCAAACCCACGTGTTTTCGCCGATGGGAACTTGGGTCCCCCTCGCAGCGAGGGCGCAACGAGTCGTTTGGCTGATGCAGAGCGTAGTGCACGCGCTGGGGTGTACGGTTTAACCATGTCCTGGATGTAGGAAGGGCCAGATCCATTCGCAGCATGGTAAGCAAGTACCAGTGTCTTGAAGTGGATTCTAGCAGTTACCGGAAGCCAGTGAAGGGAGCGGAGGAGCGGAGTGGTGTGGGAGAATTTAGGAAGGTTGAAGACCAGACGAGCCGCTGCATTCTGGATGAGCTGCAGAGGTCGGATGGCACATGCAGGTAGACCAGCCAGGAGGGAGTTGCAGTAGTCTAGGCGTGAGATGACGAGAGCCTGGACCAGAACCTGAGTCGCTTTCTGAGTCAGCTGGGGACGTATCTTCCTGATGTTGTAAAGCGTGTATCTGCAGCAACGAGTTGTAGCAGCGATGTTTGCAGTGAAGGACAGGTTGTTATCTAGGGTCACACCCAGATTCCTTGCAGTCTGAGTCGGGGAAACAACTGAGGTGCCGATGTTGATTGTTAGGTCAAGAGTGGGACAATCTTTTCCCGGGAGGAAGAGCAGCTCAGTCTTGTCAAGGTTGAGCTTGAGGTGGTGAGCAGACATCCACTGAGAGATGTCAGCTAGACAAGCAGAGATGCGTGCAACGACCTGGGTCTCTGAGCGGGGAAAGGACAGAATTAATTGGGTGTCGTCAGCGTAGCAGTGGTAAGAAAAACCATGCGGGCTAATGACTGATCCGAGCGAGTTTGTGTACAGGGAAAAGAGGAGGGGACCAAGAACAGAGCCCTGAGGGACCCCCGTAATTAATTGACAAGGGTCGGACTCAGTCCCTCTCCAAGTCACCCTGTAGGTACGGTCTTTCAGGTATGAGGTGAGGAGGGAAAGTGCAGAGCCTGAAACTCCAAGTTTTTGGAGAGTGCGAAGGAGGATCTGATGATTCACCGTGTGTGTGTGCGACTTAAGTGCGACTCGAGTCCGAGTCACAAACTCGAGTCCCCATCTCGTGTGTGTGTGGTGTGTGTGTGTGTGTGTGTGTGTGTGTGTGTGTGTGTGTGTGTGTGTGTGTGTGTGTGTGTGTACATTTTTTAGGTTAACATCACTCATCCAGAGTACGCTTTACAATCACGCTGTTAACATTTAACTAAGCAAGCAATGTATAGGTTGGGATCTTATCTGTGGTCCTTTCTGTGTAGAGTCCGTGCTCAGAAGTTCCTTCCACTACACCAATGTTCTCCCATAGTGCAAATACATGCAAGTTTGGTGAATTAAAGTAGAAATGTTCAATATCTGTTATAGTGTTCACCCGGTGAGGTTGAGGTAACCTATCCAGGGTGTATCCCAGTCTTCCAGCCAAATGGTGGTCAGGGAATTAATACAACGTCTTACCCATTGGTCAACCTTGGTGAACCCTGAACTAAGTTCCCCACAGGCCCGACACAGCTGGGATAGGTCATCTGTAAAAAACAAATACCGGCATAAATGTAGTGAAATGCCAAAAAATACAGAATATTTTTTTGTTTCTCTGGTTTAGTCCTGTATACCGGAATTTTTCACCAGGGACATTGCCATGTCGAACCTCATTGAGGCCACACCCGCCTGGTCAACAAGGTATTGGACCTTCTGCTTCTGGTCCAATATTATTTTCTCTGCAAGCTAACAAAGTCTGAGATAAGTATCTTCATATTATTGTTTAGTGACAGATGGTTATATATACACACATTCATAAATGTTACCTTGCAAATCAACACACCGCATGATGCTGTGTCCTGCTGTTTGGGATGATCCATGCTGTCACATGCCCATCTCACAACAGCTGGGTTTGTCTTGCGGACCAGCGATCTACACAGGGAACACATACATTATGTTTTGGACATACAATCCTTTTTAAGTCAAGAACAGCTGAATGTTCACACAGGACAATCTTATGTTATTGAAGTAAAACAGCAGTAATCAGGAACATCATTGATGTGGCTTTGTGTTGCTCCCTTAATATAATCCCACATCCTGAATGCATGAATATATCTAGTAAAGACATTACAGCTGATATTTGATTTACCGTGTTAGGTCTTTGCAGCGGCTTATCTGTTCTTTGATGGCCCCAAATGGGTCCAAAAAGGGACCTGTTTCCCCTCAGATACATGATCTGTGGAAGTGCAACAAATTAAACAGTGTCAAGTGTTATAAAGTAGGCTTACCTCTCCCTCCAACTGCTGTCCTGGGGCCAAGACCATGAGGTTCTCGCTGTAAACTTTGTATGGGCCATACTTGGCCCATAGCGTCTCCTTCCTCCTCCCTGCCCATATGTCTCGGATTACTGTAAAAAAAAAAAGATAACGCATGTTAGTTATTAAGGAAATGCATACTTTGAGGTGTACTTTGTGTCAGTTTACTTACAAGTCTCCACCTCAGAAGATGCTCCTTCTGCCTGACTTGATGGAGCCAGGGTTTGGGAGGATGTGGGGGTGGAGGTGGGTGTGGAGGTGGGTGTGGAGGTCAGTGGACCAGCCAGAGGAGAAGGATCCAACATCCATCCATCTTCTCCCGCTTATCTGTGGTCGGGTCGCAGGGGTAGCAGTTCCAGCAGAGAGCCCCAAACTTTCTTTTCCCTGGCCACATCAACCATCTCTGACTGGGGGATCCCAAGGCGCTCCCAGGCCAGCGAAGAGATATAATCCCTCCACCTGGTCCTAGGTATATCCCTTGGTCTCTTCCCAGCTGGACGTGCCTGGAACACCTCCCTAGGCAGGCGCCCAGGTGGCATCCTAACTAGGTGTCCGAACCACCTCAACTGGCTCCTTTCGACGCGAAGGAGGAGGGGTTCAACTCTGAGTCCCTCCCTGATGACCGAACTTCTCACCTTATCCCTAAGGGAGACACCAGCCACCCTGCGGAGAAAACCCATCTCGGCCGCTTGTATCCGCGATCTCGTTCTTTCGGTCATGACACATCCTTCATGACCATAGGTGAGGGTAGGAATGAAAATGGCCCGTAAGACAGAGAGCTTTGCCTTCTGGCTCAGCTCCCTTTTCGTCACAACGGTGCGGTAAAGCGACTACAGTACCGCTCCCGCTGCTCCGATTCTCGGCCCATCTCACGCTCCATTGTTCCCTCACTCGAGAACAAGACCCTGAGATACTTGAATTCCTTCACTTGGGGTAAGGACTCATTCCCTACTTGGAGTGGATAGTCCATCGGTTTCCTGCTGAGAACCATGGCCTCAGATTTGGAGGTGCTGATCCTCATCCCAGCCGCTTCACAGTCGGTTGCGAACCGATCCAGTGAGTGCTGAAGGTCGCAGACCGATGAAGCCATTAGAACCACATCATCTGCAAAAAGCAGTGGTGCAATCCTTAGTCCACCAAACTGCAGACCCCCTCCCCCACGACTACGCCTGGAAATCTGATCCATGTATATTACAAACAGGATTGGTGACAAAGCGCAGCCCTGGCGGAGGCCAACCCTCACCGGAAATGGGTCCGACTTACTGCCGAGGACCCGGACACAGCTCTCGCTTTGGGAGTACAGAGATTGGATGGCCCTGAGTAGAGACCCCCTCACCCCATACTCCCGCAGCACCTCCCACAGTAACTCCCTGGGAACTCGGTCATACGCCTTCTCCAAGTCTACAAAACACATGTAGACCGGATAAGCGTACTCCCAGGCGGCCTCCAGGATCCTTGCGAGAGTAAAAAGCTGATCCGTCGTTCCACGACCAGGACGGAATCCGCATTGTTCCTCCTCAATCTGAGGTTCGACAATCGGCCTGACCCTCCTTTCGAGTACCTTAGAGTAAACTTTCCCGGGGAGGCTGAGTAGTGTGATGCCTCTGTAATTGGCACACACCCTCTGATCCCCCTTTTTGAAAAGGGGAACCACCACCCCGGTCTGCCACTCCTTCAGTACTTTTTCCGACTTCCACGCAACGTTGATGAGAAGGATCCAACCATTTTTTCAATTTAGCAGGGATCCTCTCCTCTGGCTGGACATAGTGTGCGAGGTGGTCAATGTAGACTTTCATCTTATTGTTTCCCTTTTCTGAAACTATTTCAGCAACTTTCCCCTCAATGTCCACAACCCGGTAAGGTCCCTGCATTTCCACCTCTAGTTTTCTGCCTTTTCTTTGCTCCAACCTTTTTGTTTCTTTTTAAAACCAAGTTGTCCGCTTGGAAGTTGTCCGCTTGCCCTTTCTCCAGTTTCCTCTTGCGGACCCTCTCTTGGCTTCTTTTCATGTTTTTCTTGACAAGCGTGAAAACGGCCTCCTGTTTTTGAAATGCCTTCCAGACATCTTCCCTTTCCACCATCCTTTTGACTTTGTCTTCGGTTATCTGCCACAGAAAACAGTTAGAATGTAGAGGACATACATGTTTGAAATAAAAATAATGCTACAGGATAAGAGATTAACCGGATCTTACTTTGTACTCCTTGGGCACCTCTGATGGGTACCTCGCCTCCCTCCCAAACATCAGAAAGTATGGACTGAACTTTGTAGTCACCTGAAACTTTGTTCTCAGACTGAACATGGTGGGCTGCAGGAATTTGTCCCAACTCACCCGCCACCAGTTTGTTCAGGGACCTAAATTCAGGTAAAGTACAGACACAAGCAGGTAGAAAACAAAATGGTTTCGAATATATGATAAAGCAACCCCTTTATTTACTCTTGTTTTATTTAGGTATAATTTGTGATTACTGTTAATGTAGGAAAAATAATGTTATTTATATGAATTAACATACCTCTGTATTATTCCATTTCATTTTTCCACGAGCCCATTTGTCTGTGGATGATACGGGGAACGCAGGCTTCTTTCGATTCCCAGCCTCACAAAGGTTATAGTTCACCTTGAAGGAAACATTGGGACAAAAATGAAACCACAGTTCACATGTTCCAAAGCTGAAACTGGCTGGAATTGTTTCCTTGTACCTCAATAGGAGTGTACTCCCTCTTTTCTTTGATGCTTGACCTCTTTGATTGGCACTGGGGATACTCAGCAATCTGGAAAAGAAAAAAAAACACACCATAAACTTTTCTGTGCTCCACTTTTGTACCATAATGTGTAATTTACCTCATTATTTTTATAACTCACCCACTTGCGGATGTCATCCACCATGCCAGGCCAATACAATCGTTTCATGATGGCGCCATGTGTTTTCTCTACAGCAAAATGTCCTCCCAATTGGCTGCAGTGAAACTTTAAACAGCTTGTCAGCTTCTTCTAAGGATAACACCATTTTGGCGAGGTGCTCAGCCATGTCCTTTTTTCTTCTGCATATGTAATGCAGTTCTCCATCTGGTATTGAAATGGGGAGATTCCCAGTCGATCGCGAGATGTGTCTGAAAATAGAACAACAATATTCAGTTTTATCGTTCATGTCCTATAACATAATCTTCCTGTGCCAGAATAATGCACTTGAACGCATCAAAGCTTTGTGATTGGCCGGCGTGACCCCATGTGTCGGGGCGTGGCTGGTGGGCAGTGGGCACTATTTCGCTGACGTTGTCCGTGTCAACAGGAGTGACAGTCCGCACACACACAAGACCGCAATTATGGCAGAAGCAAAAGAGCCCAAAATATATAATTTTCACTCCGAGTGGGAGGATGATTATTTTTATCGATTCCAATTCAAAGTCCATCTGTCTCATCTGCAATGCGAGCGTGGCTTTATCGAAGAAGAGTGATTTTAGGAGCGGCATTTCAAAACCGTGCATAAACGCTACGAGACGGAATTCCCTCCTAATTCTGCCCTACGCTCCCAAAAGGGGAGGGACCTGAAAGGACAGCTAAATGCACAGCAATCCCCGCGTCCGGGAGGAAGCACCACAGGGGCCGAGGAGGGCGGGGCCGGGGCAGGGTTGCCCCAACGAGGGCGAGGGGATGCCCTTGCATCCAGGACACCTGTCCCCGTGTCGCATGACCCTGAACAGGCCGTCGGAAGGGGGCCGCAGGAGAGGGCAGGGGCCCCAACGAGGGCATCCCCACCGGGGGGGTGGGGGGCGAGCCATGGAACGGGCCGTCCATAAGGGGGCCGCGGTAAGCGTAGAGGCGAATGAAGATAACATCCGCCCACCGTAGAAAGCTGGGTCGCTGTGCTGCGACGTGGGGACGGGCATGAATGTCTCGGTGGTCCCCAGCAGGGAGGAGCGCTGTCCGGCCGCAGGCGAGGGCACAGCGGCGGCGGGCACTAAGTCCCCGGGAGGCAGGAGCAGTATCCCCGGGAGGCAGGAGCAGTATCCCCGGGAGGCAGGAGCAGTATCCCCGGGAGGCAGGAGCAGTATCCCCGGGAGGAAGGAGCCGTGGACAGGGAAGAGGCCAGATGGGGTCCAGAAGTGCGCCACCCAGGCGCCGATGAAAGCATGGGCGACGTCCGAAACTGTTGGCGAGGGGAGAGGCCAGACAGGGTCCCGAAGCGCGCCACCCATGGGCGGATGAAAGCATGGGCGACATCCGAAACCGTCAAGGCGAAGGGAGACGGGGTCCAGAAGTACGCCACCCAGGCGCCTCTGATAACCACATGTTGTGTACGCAATTTCGTCCCTCTGCGAACGCTGTGCCACACAAGACCCGTTAGCTGTTAGTCGTCGTCGTTAGCCGGTAGCTGCCAGTCGTCGTCGTTAGCTTTTAGCCGTTAGCCGCTAGTCGTTGTCGACGGCCGTTAGCTGTTAGCCGTCAGTCGCTGTCGTCGGCCCCGGAGACTCTGGTAGAGGGCGTGCCTCTACCAGGGAAGGTGCCGCTGCGTGACGGGTCCAGCACCTCAGGGGTAAAACGCCGGGCGGCCAGGAAAAACCGGTCAGCTTCTTCGGCTAAAGCGTGGGGCTCAACACTAGCCGTGTTAGCGAGCGCTGTCTGGACATGCGGCTGCATGTCCCGAAGAAACAGTTCCATGAACAAGAAACCTGGTTCTTCCGTACCTAGCAGGTCAATCAATCAATCAATCAATGTTTATTTATATAGCCCAATATCACAAATGTTACATTTGTCTCAGTGGACTTCACAGTTTGTACAGAATATCAGTATGACAATGCATACTGTCGTGTATCATCTCCATGTGGTCGGAAGGCTTGCTGTTTCCCAGTGCCGAAACGATGTGGAAATAGCGTGCATCCTCATCGGTCATTCCGCGGAGGACGAAACGAGCCTCAGTCGGTGCGAACGATGCAGCCGCAGACGTCTCCCAAAAACTTCGGCAGTTTGAGAAAAACAGCGTCTTCTGCCATGTTCGGTTCAGTCTCGGATACTTCTGCGAGACTTATGTCGGGGTCACCAATGTAGTTCTGAGAGACGGGAGTCGGAGGTGGTGCATCGAAGGTACAAAGTTAGCTTTAATGAGCATCAGAAACACACATGTTGTCGGCTTGAAGCCCGGGAAGAGAAGGGAACACTAGAAAGGAGTGCACACAGTAGGTACTAGAGATATCCCGATCCCTGGATCGGCCCCCGATACTGGGTTTTAAGGTGGATCGGGATCGGCAGA